CTCTCTAAAAAAAAAAAAACAATGGGAGAAAATATCCTTGGGTAAGGATTAACAAACAAGCAAACAAGAAAGACAGAGAGAAATAAATTATTTTTTAAAAAGAATTCCTAGAAAGGAGGTCACATTCATTCCTGCCCTAGAAGCTGCCCCCAGGTTCACAGACCTCAGGAACGGCAGGCCTCGGGGCCAGCACTGTGGTCAATTTTGAAGGACATTTAAAAGGAAAACAAATAAGCTAGGCCTGATCTTCATTCCTTCCTTTGCCCTTCTTTTCCTGAGGCCCTCTGCTCCCAGCATCTTGTCGGACCACCTTTCTGACATCCCCCACACGCCGTCTACCCTGGGCTGCAGCTCAGGAGGAGACAGGAAGCGGCTCCCCGGGCAGCAAGCAGGGCGGCTCCCACTGACCCCTCGGCTCCTGAGAATCCGCAAGTGTGCCTGACCTCAGAGGGCAGCTTCCCCAAACCCCTGCATGTCCTGTGCCCTGAGGTTCTCCCTGACCTCCATTTCCCCAGTCCTGTGTCTCCCTCCCAAATCCCTGAAGCTGAATTTTCTGAGTCTCTGTTCTAAATGCCTCTCCAAGCCCTGGCCGGATAGCTCCGTTGGTCAGAGTGTCGTCTCGATTCACCAAGGCTGCGCATTCTATCTCCGGTCAGGGCACATATAAGAATCAATCAATGAACGCGTAAGTGGAACAACAAATCGATGTCTCTCTCGCTCTCAAATCGATAAATAAAAAATACATAAAAATAAAAAATAAATGCTTCCCCAGCTGTGATGCCCCAAAACGGCTTTGCTTCCTGACCACAAGCCCTTTTACTTTCACATTGCTTCAATCCCTCCTGTTCCACTCTCCGATCCCTGGTCTAAACTGTCCTCACAGGCCTGGACCACAGGCTCAGAATTCATCTTCTGGTTCCTGTGGACCGTCTAACCGATTTCACTGGCTCCCCACTGAAGTCCGAATTCCTTAAAACAGAACAGCAAGACCTGGCCCTCGCCTGCACTAAGCTTGACTCCCCATGCCCCAGTTAACCAATCATCCCCCAACCCGAAATGTCACCCTCGGTGCACTCTCCATGGCTAAGTCCCAGTCAAATTCCAAGCACTATCATGCACCCCTGGACGCTTGTCACATAATCATGTGCGGTCTTTCACTCTGCTTCGTACGTTCACATGTTGGTCCTGTCTCCCCAAACTGGTCAAAGTTCACCAAGAACAAGCATTGTGTTCTGCAACTTTGAAGCTTTATGTGTATTTTTAAAACAGAGAGGAAGAGAGAAATAGAAAGAACAGAAGAAAAAGGAGAAGAAAAAGACATTTGTCCAGTGTCGGCCTCCTGCTGGAAGTGACAGCAGACCCTGCAGGCAGGGACCTGCGCTTAGTTACCTTTGCATTCTTAGCACACAGCACAATTCCTGGGACAGGAGGACCCGAGGCTTTCTGAATAGCTGAATAAATGCATAAGTTAGTAAGTGACAGAGTAAATAAAGGGAGAAATAGTAAAAAAAAAAAATGAAATTCTGGGGCAGCTTAACAAGATCAAAATTAAGAATCTCGTAATAAAAATGCTTTGCATGAAGTTTAAAGGAAAAGTCTGTTAGATTAAGTCCACAGAGTTACGTTTTATACCACAAGGCAGGCAGGGTCAGAGTTCTCTTACCTGAGGCACAGGCACTTTCTGCGGGGTGTTCTGGGGTGATGGGTGGAGCTGTGCCCAAGGCTGGTGATGCGGGTGTGGGGGTGAAGACTGGTGGTGCAAGCCCGGGTGGGGCTGCATCGGAGGACAGGTTGGCAACTGCTGAAAAGACGGCTGCTGGCCAGGGTGCTGCTGGCCAGGTAGCAAACGTTCCTGGATTGCTTGTGGATCTGCAAGGCCAACACCGGGACAACCATTTGGTCTCATGTGCCCGGCCAGCTCCCTCGGTGCTGAGGACATGCCCATGAACGGACGAGACTGCTGCATGTTTCTGGGGCCCATATTCCTCTGTCCGATTCCCATGGCACCAGGGGGCTGGTGAGATGGCTGAGGGTGGGGCATATTTGGATAACTGCCAACTTCCATTGGTATCCCAGCACTCCCGGGCCTGACTTGCGGAGGAGGGGTGCCTGCTGGGTTACTCATCGCTTTCATGGGTGACATGGGAGGTGGAGAGGCGTAAGTTCCCTGAGGCTGTGAAGGATGCATAGTTTGTGTGTTCATTTGGTTAAGTGAGCCGCTGGGGTGGATGGGCTGCTGGTGCATTAGTCCCTGACCACTGTTCGACGGGAACCCTACAGCATTGGTGTATCTGGGTACGGACTGATTCATTGGAGTATTATTCGTAAGGCCTAAATTTTGATTCATCCCTGTATTGTTAACTAATCCCTGATTTAGGTTACTGTAAGGATATCGAGAATACTGCCCTGAGTTGTTTATAGTAGGTGAGGGGACTGTCTGGCTCCGAGAACTAAAGTTAAGGGTTTGTGGCCGGACAGCCCCTTGCTGAGGAGGATTCGGGGAGAATCTGGGACTGTGGGCAACGGATTCTCCATGGAGAGCAGTGGGGGGGTGGTGGTGGAACTGCTGCACTGAGTGACGTAAGGAAGGCGCCATGCCGGGACTCTGCTGGGGCACGTGGGACAGGTGGCCGGGTCCTGAGGTGGCAATGAAAGGGTTCCCCTGATTGAGGCCCTCCTGGCCTTGGGAAAACTGGCTCATCCTCTGCTGCGGCTGACCGTGCTGCTGCATGGAAAAGTCCCCGCGGGCCAGATAGCTGCCCATCGGCTGCAGGTGCTGCGGGTGGCCCTGGGCGGGGGGCCCCGGCGGAGCCGGCTGGGGCGGCTGGGG